GGACATGCTTTGCTTTGCTATCTTCTTCTCCATACCAGTTGTTTTCTTTTGAAGTCCCTTGGACTGTTCTTTTGAGAGGTTGTCATTGGAATTCATTTGTTGTTCTTACTACTGCATCCTTCTTGTGGTGTAATGTTTATAGCTTTGTACTTCTTGTTATGTTTATCTTTAACTGCCATTTTCCTTCTCCTAATTTCTTTAGTTTCTTCTCTTATCACCGGTCTACATATTCCTTAGAATTCAATACCAGCAATATATACACGAAAGCAAGAGGAGCAACCATATGGCTGCTTCTCAAGGGACAAGGAAAGCGATTATGTCTGGTGTATCAGGTTTTTTTACAATATATTTTTTTAGATTCCAAATAATTGGTTGTATTGGGTGTTGTGGAAATATTGGGAATGATACTATAATATGGTCAATGGAGAATATAAATAACTGGCCTTCATAACTGAACATTCTTGAGTGTGCAAACTGATGGTATCAAATGTTACCATGCCCATTATAGTCATTACCATAGATTCCCTTTTTAACAAGAGTGATTTTTCTGCCAATTTGCGGAATCTGTTGACATCCCCATTGAAAGAACGTAACATTTTTCCTTTATTATAGAATGTTACTTCCATGGAGGTCAAATTTGATGTCAATACCTCAAGAGTATTTTTAAGGTTACTTTATTATTTTCCACTTGATTTTTATTACATATATTCAAGTCTGGAGAACCAGCGATATCTTTGCTCTCCAAATTTCTACTTAGTATTTCCACCATTAACAAGAGCTGACCCACAGCAAAATGCATTTGGCACCCAACTTGTTGCATTTCTTGTGTCTTATCTTTTGACCAACCAGGTTATCTAACTTCTTAAAGGTTGGGCAGAGGATAACCAAATATTTTACCTGTGTTTTTTAAAACTAAATAGGTCATTTTTGCCTGAAGAAACTGAACCTGTTTTCTGAATCATGGCTAATAATGCCAGAAGATCTTTTATTTCTGTGATTTGTATATCTCATCTGTGAGGGAATCCTGAGGTCATGTTTCTAAAATATGACTTAGCTCATTTCCAAGTTTCTTCTCACTGAGCTCATGTTCCGAAACAGCAGTCTTATTTATCTTCCATGATCATGTTGCTTTTTCTCTGGTGGCATTGCACATTATCATGCTTTATGTATTGGCACTAGTTGAATCTAAAATATGGCCTGTGACAGAAGAGGTAAAAGTCAGCTAACACATCCTGGATGCTTATTTGTGTTTTCCTTTTGCATCACTTCTAATCTTATTTTGGACCTTTGAAACAGATTTGGTTCGTGGATACAACATCCTGCTTACGGAAGATGCAACATAACTCTCTGTGAAATTTCATCAGTGGGTTTAGCTTCTTGTTCAGACCCCGAAAGTATTAGTTTTATGGGTGTGAGTTTTGAGGAACTCAAGCCTTGTGTGAATGTTGAATTGACTAATGAACTGCAACTGGGATCCTTATTTTTGGATGAATCCAATGTGCTCAGTTGCTTCAGAATGGATCCAATGTCTTTACACCTAAGTGAATCAACTGAGTTTTGCAGCCTGTTGCATGCTATATGCATATTAGAGTGAATGAGAAGCTATTTGTTGATGGATCCCCTTTGTTGATCTTATGTGAGTAACATCACCTTTTATGTTGGTGCTGCACTGGTGTTAATTCTACCTTTTTTAGATTCTTTAACAATTGTTTCTTCCAATGATCTTTATTTGGGATTCCATAATCCATGTGAAACACAATCCAACAGTTTGGCCTCTTATTTGTTAGTTGTTTCATACTTTATTGCCTTTGCAAGCTATAGAAGACTCGATGGCTATATGTTGGCTGTATACAGTATTTGAAGCATATCCCTGCATTGGCCTAGTTGAATTATCTAATTCAAGGTCTTTAATTTCACGGGGTTCTATTAGTATTTATTGATTTCCTCGTCGGAGTGGATGACATAAACTGGATCGGATCATCTGGTTTAGGTTTTTTCTTCTTCCTGTTTCAGTACATCTTTTTCTCTTCTCTTTTTTCGACAATCGATTTGAGATGGAATGGTCCGATATGATTTGTTATTTAAATAATATTTTTTTTTATTTTTTATTTTTTTCTATGCTCTAGAGAGAATGTTATTTTCCGCCTCTATTTTGGTGCATCTCCTTCTCCCTCCCTCATCAACATTAGGAACAGATAAGATCCCTTCCTCCCTCATCAATACTAGGAACAAATAAGATCCCTTTTGAAATGGTCATGAATTGGTATAACTTTGAAATTAATTATGGATGGAAATAGATGAGATTTCTATTGGTATATGACAATGGAACGAAAATGAATTCCATGATATGTTCTCTTCCGCCTCTATTTTGGTGCATCTCTTTCTCCCTCCCTCATCAACATTAGGAACAGATAAGATCCCTTCCTCCCTCATCAACATTAGGAACAGATAAGATCCCTTTTGAAATGGTCATGGATCGGTATAACTTTGAAATTAATTATGGATGGAAATAGATGAGATAGATGAGATTCCTATTGGTATGACAATGGAACGAAAATTGAATTCCTTGATTTGTTTCTCTGAAGTGTTTTAATGAGATGGGTTTTTTTTATTTTTTTTGACCTGGATCTTTGTTATGTTCTCTTATTTTTATGCAGCTGAATGGAGTACTAAATGGTCATGGTGGTTATCTATTTATGTTACAACAAGTGATGACTCTATAGCTCGTTGTTAGTGGTATATTTTGGCCCAGAGAAATTAGGGATTGAGGTTTATGATTGCTATATAGCATGATAAAGGCTTAATGTGATGAACTTTGGAAAGTAGAATGATATGTTAGTAGGAAACATATATCTAAGAAGGATATAGGAACCCTACATAAAAAAACATATCCTTTTCTTATTGTAGTCTCTCACTTCACAAGCCACAAATATATACTATTATAATCATACACATTGAGAGTTAGGGTGAGAACCCACTTTTTATTGGTGAAAAAACATGATAGTTCATCAAAACACTCAACACTAGGAAGAATAAAGATCATTTGGTTTTATCTTTCCAGAGATATCAAGATTTTGGTTTACCATTCCAGCAAGAAGAGATTCAACAAAGTGAAACAACATTATATTTCATCTAGGAAGAAACACCGGAAAAACTCAAGTATCATAATGTCCTAGTAGCACAATGAGCATTGCCTTGTAATCTCTCAAAGTGTTGCCATTGATTGCTTTTTTGTAGTAGGTCGCTTCTATCACCTTCAAATCAACCTCTGCATGAGTAGTAATTATTTAAGTAAGAGAATTCTTATTGGTTCCTAGAGCTTTAATAGCCAACCAGATTTTCTTCTCTAAGCATCTCTCTGGACAGCATGAGTAACATATGATCGCCCTTAATGTAACGAGGAACTCGTTTTTGCAATCAGATTTTAGATCCCGCAAGAAGGCAAAATCTAATCAAATATCAAGAAACAATTGTTGTATGACATGAAGTCTTGATGCATCTTAGTCCCAAGTTTCATATTTTCAAGGTAAAAACAATTGATTTTATTTATCAAGAGTATACCTTAAAATCGAATTGAAGATGCATTATCATATTGCTTGCCAACCATGCACAATGAGATAAGTCCCTTATACTACTTTTGGAATATAGGCCGTATTAGTTTTAACATATAGATAGATGAAATATAAATTCAAGTTCAGATGGACACAAAATGATTAGCTATGGAGGACCATAAAAATCTCCTTCGAAGTTTGATATACTATCAAAGACAAAAGTTCATGTACAAAGGATAAGATGATGGGCAAGCTATTTAAGCTAAGATGCTCAAATGCAACACAACATGAAGATTACAAATTTTAGTTTCTTAAATATCAATTTGCAATATAGAAAAAGAGAACAGAGTATTGAAATCGAGAGAAGTCATGAAGAAAATTCCACTATGATAAAAGATGCAAACACCCTCTGATTTGGTTTGTAATTTAAATAATATTTTCTTTTTTTTCCTATACTCCAAGGTGAATCTCTTCTTCAGCCTCCATTTTAATGCATCTCCTTCTCCGTCCTTCATCAACACTCAGAACAGATAAGATTCCTTTTGGTCTAGCCATGGATCATGTAGCTTCAAAATTGATTATAGATGGAAATCGATGAGATTCCTATTGGTCAGACCATGGAACGAAAATTAAATTCCTTGATTGGCTTCTCTGAAGTGTTTAAAAGATACGTGGTCTCTTCTGCTCGTGTCTTTTAGAAGATTTTTTTGACCTTGACCTTTGTTATGTCCTCCTACTTCTATGTTTCACATATATCTCTGAAGTATCTACGTGACAAACATACCAAGTTATTCTCAAATCATAATAGACAATGATATCTTGGACGTGGGTTCGCCTAAATAGTTATCAACACTAACAACTGAATGAAGTACTAAATAATCATGGTGGTTATCTATTTCTTGTTATAACAAGTGTTGATTCTGTCGTCGCTCATTCTTGGTCGTATGTTTTGGCCCAAAGAAATTAGGGATTGAGGTTAATGATTGCTATATAGCATGATAAAGGCTCAATGTGATGAACTTTGGAATGTCGAATTTAAGATTAGTTAGTAGAAAACATGTATCTAGGAATGATACATGAATCTTATATAAAAAAACATACCCCTTTCTTCTTTTAGTTTTTCACTCTACAAGCCACAGATATATGCTGCTGCAATCATACACATTGAGAGTTAGGGTGAGAACCAACTTTTTATTAGTGAAGAAATATGATAGTTTATCAAATTACTCGGAAGAAAAAAAATCATTCGGTTTTATCTTTCTAGAGATATCAGGATTTTGGTATACCATTCTAGCAAGAGGGATTTAGTAAAGTGAAATAACATTATATTTCATCCAAGAAGAAATATTGGAAAAACTCAAGCATCATCATGTCCTAGCAGTAATGAACATTGCCTTGTAATCTCACAAAGTATTGACCTTGATTACTTTTTCGAGTGGCACATTGTTCCTCTTGTAGTAGCTGCCTTTATCGACTTTAGATCAACCTTCACAGGAGTAAGAGAATTCTTATCAATTCCTAGATCTTTGATAGCCAATCGGATTAACTTCTCAAAGTATCTCTCCAGGTACTATGTGCAACATATGATCACCCTTAATTAAGCGAGGAACTCGATTTTGTGATCAGATTTAAGATCCCGCAAAAAGGTAAAATCTAATCAAATATCAAGAAACTATTATAGTATGACATGAAGCCTTGATGCATCTTAGTCCAAAGTTTCATATTTTCGAGGTCAAAACAATTGATTTTATTTATCAAGCCTTGGACATTGAGATAAGTCACTTTCGCTACTATTATAACATAAGCTGTATTAATTCGAGCGGATAGATAAATAAAACATAAATTTAAGTTCATATGGGTAAGAAATGGTTGGTTGAGGACAATAAAAACATCCTTGAAATTTGATATACGATCAAAGACAAAAGTCCATGGATAGAGAAGAAGATGTTGGGTAAGCTATTTTAGCTGAGATGCTAAAATGTAATGCAACATGAAGATTACATACTCTAGTTCCACAAATATCAATTTGTAATATAGAAAAAAACTAACAAAGTATTGGAACATAGAGAAGTGATGGAGAAAATTCCACCATGATGAAAGATAAAAAAATAAAATATCGAGGATTTTAATTTCATGTGTTCGATCAGTATTTATTAGCCTACTCGTCTGAGTAGATGGAATAAATTCGAATAGACTATCCAATTATTTTTTTCTTCTTCTAGTTTCAGTACATCTCCTTATCTTCCTCTTCTCTTATGATCGATTTGGGATTGAATGGTTTGATTTGATTTATCATTTAAATAATATGTTTTATTTTTTTATGCTCCAAGGAGAATCTCCTCTCTAGTTTCAGTGCATCTCCTTCTCCCTCCCTCATCAACACTCGGAATAGATAAGATCATTTTTGGTTTTGCCATGGATCGATGTAGCTTCAAAATTTAATATAGATGCAAATAGATAAGATTTCTATTGGTCTGACCATTGAACAAAAATTGAATTTTTTGATTAGCCACTCTCAAGTGTTTAAAAGAGATGTGATCTTTTCTACTCATGTCTTTTAGAGGATTTTTGGACATTGACCTTTGTTATGTCCTCTTGCTTGTATGTTTGTTTCACATATACCTCTGAAGTATCTACATGACAAACAAACCAAGCTGTTCACCTTAAGTCATGATGGACAATGATATCTTAGTGTAAAGTCGCTTAAATAGTTATCAACACTAACACCTGAATGAAGTAATAAATGGTCATTATGGTTATCTATTTCTTGTTATAACAAATGTTGATTCTGTTGCTCATTCTTGGTAGTATGTTTTGGCCTAAAGAAATTAGGGATTGAGGTTTATGATTACTATATAGCATGATAAAGGCTCAATAATATGAACTTTGAAAAGAATAATTTATGTAGGAAATATATATCTAGGAATGATATAAGAACCGTACATAAAAAAACATAGCTTTTTTTTTTCTGTTAATTTCGCATGCCAAAAGCCACAGATATATACTATTGCAATCAAATACATTGAGAGTCACGGTAAAAACCTACTTTTTATCAGTAAGAAAACATGATAGTTTATCAAAATACCCGATACTAGGAAAAACAAAGATCATTCGTTCTAGAGATATCAAGATTTTGGTTTTTCATTCTAGCAAGAAAGGATTCAGCAAAGTGAAACAACATCATATTTCATTCAAGAAGAAACACTAGAAAAGCTTAAGTATCATCAT